AATAACCAAACGATTGCCAAAACTACCCCTGGCGAATTCCCTGCGTTAACTTCCCAACCTATTAAAAGTAAATCACAAAGTTATATGTACCTAATATGTAGAGGCATTCCTAATTCGTTCCGCTCGAAGGAGGTACCTTTTTGGCAATCACCTCCGCTCGAAAACCCTTAAAAATGCCCTGCATAGCTATACGTAATGGGGAACTCTAAAAACAAATAGACAACCGAATATTTTATAGGTATTTTAAAACTAGTAGATTGGACGGCGACAAAATTGGAGCGAAATGTTAAGACACGACATATTATAACTTATATTATAATCCCGTCATCCACCGCATACGAGTTATTCTGCAATCTGATTGCATGGTCGAACTACTGGTCATGTTTTAGCTCATATACGGCAACAGGGTCGTAGCCAAGACTTTTCCTTTGGGGGGGGAGAGATTACATTTACCTCAATTTTTTCAACTCAACGTTTTTACCTGATTTTACAATTTTTTTTAAAAAATTTGAAGTCTCTAGACCGTCGGAAATGGCATTTTTTTAGTCTTTCCAACACAACAGTTCAATATTTAGTATTACTTACAGTTTAATGTGACTAGGAAAATTGAGGACATTTTGGAAATTTGGAGACTTCAGACCGTCAGAATGGGTATTTGGCCATGCTCCCCTGCCACGACACGTCTCGAAATCTTTAGTTTGTTCCATTGTCAAAATCTACAGGAAGTCTACCTGAAAATGCTTACAATGAGCAATTATCATGGGTGTCCCCCCCCCCTCCCCCACATACACCCACGTCGCTACGATCCTGTATAGCGAGTTCCGAGAGTACCGAAAAACAAATTCCGAGAGTACAAAAGGTACAAAAGATTTGCGAAACAGAAAAAAGGAAAATATTGGCCTTGAGAAAAATAAAAGTACAAGAAAAAACTCTCAACAGGCATGTTAGCAAAAAAATATGTAGTAGATAATAAAGTGCTCAACACTAATATTATAGTAGAGCAAGATATATTTATATCTTATTGCTATTCAAGTAGCACGCCTTATTCAAGACGATCTTCAGGCAATTAATTCAGTTAGTGTTTGATTCGTCAACAATATTTAGTATTACTTACAGTTTAATGTGATTAGGAAAATTGAGAACATTTTTGAAATTTGGAGACTTCAGACCGTCAGAATGGGTATTTGGCCATGCCCCTCCTGCCACGATACGTCTCAACATTTCAAGCTGGGAGCACGGCTATTTTCAATTGTGTCCTAGAATTTTTCTCAATCATAAATCCTGTGTTAATTTTGATCCTTAAATTGTATTATTTTCATACGATAGATTATATATGCGACTACATATAGATTATATATTGCCGTCGCCGTCGCGTTCCCTTCCTACATGCTTAATTAATGTTAAGTTACACCAGAATCGAGTGAATTGACTATAATGATATTAATGGTATAATCGTTAAAGATTATTTAACAATTACTCGCCGACGGCGAGGTGATTATCGGATTATCGGAGAATATTCGGCGAGACGAAGCCGAGGTGAATATTCCCCAATAATCACCAAGACTGAGGCGAATAATTTTTTAGTATTTTTACACAAGTCTTTTGTGTTTTTTGGGACTGAATTTATTTTAATTTCGCTTATTTATTTATCAGCAACTTCCACAAAACAGTTATTTTGAAAATTTGAAATGTTATATTCACCTGTAGGTGAATATACTTACAGCTTAATACGTCAAATTTGACCAATCAACCTGTAGGATTTGTTGTATTCACTTGTGCAGAAATACTAATAAGCAATTATTGGATGAGGCTGAGCATGATATCAAGAATTATTCAGACCGAGGTCAATGTTATCTGCCGAAGCGAAGCTGAGGCGGATAACATAGACCGAGGTCTGAATAATTCTTGATATCATGCGAAAGCCGAATCCAATAATTGTTTTATTATACATTTAAAGACATGAGAAACGTTTAAATTCCTGTTCATGAGGTACTGTAGGAAAAGTACAATTTGAATATGAAACACCTTGCACAAAGTCAAAGGTCAGCTAAATATTCTATTTCTATACTTCTATTTACCCCTTTGTGGCTTTTTTCGTGCTTTCACTATCCTTATCTGCCAATAATTTGGAGAGTTCACTTTCATTCAGCGAAGCAAATCTGCTGTAGGCCATTGTTTGTTTGTTTTTTTCGCGCGCTTGTAGGTTCAAGCTTTTGGCCGCGCAAGGGCTTGGGCACGAGAGAGTCCAATAAATTTTTTTTTGGATGCAGGTTCGATCCAAAAAAACAATTATTGGACGCTCATGACGTCATCGGCGGAAAATACGTAATAAATGCCGAATACTGAAAATTAGCCGGTGCTTTCTGACCAATTAGAAACGAGAATACATATTATACTAATTAACAATTATTCGCCGAAGGCGAAGTGATTACCGGTGAATATTCACCGAGACGAAGTCGAGGTGAATATTCACCGTAATCACTGAGCCTGAGGCGAATAATTGTTTTAGTATAAATTTTTAATGAATAAAACAAAATATCCAAGATATCCAACTATAAGTTTAATTAAAATTCAGAAATAAAACTGTTTTCGACCGGTTTACGGTTTAGTGTTGCAGTGTTTCTTGTACACGCACGCTTTCAAAATGGCTTCCTGTGCGACTTTATTGCTTTATTACAAAGTTATTTTTCTCGATTTCTGCTTAGAATATAAACACAATGATGGAATGACTTTTTACCAGACTTAGAATTAAAAAATAGTTTCTGTTTAGCATTAATTTGTTCAGGAAATGGCTGAGAAATTTGGTAAAATGAAATGTAAAACTATATCGTTCGAATTAATATAAAAGTTTTAATACACTTTTCACTTTACAAGTTTTAAAAACACAAATAGTACAATACAGCGAAAGGACACCATACAGCACAATGAAAATACGACATAGTCAAAAGAAATAGTATCGTACAAATTGAGATATTTATAGGATACAAAACAAAATTGTTTTAAAAAGAATATCACGGCTTTTCCCAAAAGTCGGGATATTTTTTGCTATTTCAGATTTACGTTTGAAGCGAATGTTTCGGAGTTTTAAATAAGTTTTAAATTGTCCGTGAATATGTTTGACACAGTAATATAATACTAAATCCTACCTTTCAAGTTAAATACAACATTTGTGCTTTTTTTCTTTTTCTGTGACGATTTTTTCAATATTTTGTCGATTTTGAAACCAAATTTGCCGAATCATTCTTTTTGAAAAGCATTATTTACTACCCAGGTGGTAAATAATGCCTCAGATTTACTAGTCAACTAGCCAATCAGAACGCGCGAAAGCTCATTTGATATGCAAAATTTATACTAACACTATATATTATAGGCTTTTTAACATCGAAAATTAATCTCAAAATTTCCACCATTTGGTGCTTTCAATATGATATAGAATTAATCATTTGGTTACAAGAACGAGTGTTTGTCTGTAATTTAATAAATGATGTCATTATTTTGCGTACGTTCTACTAGGTTCTGTTCTGGAGTTTCTAAATTGCTTTTCATGTTGGCGAAACATTAAATTTATCATGAATACGGATGTTGGGAAAAGTGATTTAACTTATCTTCACGGCATCCGAGTACTTTCTATGTTTTGGGTTATCTATATTCACACAAATCAAGAATCACTTAATTCACTTCAACCAATAGGTAAGTAAAATATAAAATTAATGTTGTTTGGATGTGTATTTTGTATATTTGCTGTTAAGTGTTTGATAGTTTTTGGCTTGCCATACAAATATATCAATTACTGTACTAAAAATCATGTCCATTGCTCTGTCTTGGATGAAAGGGTGTGCACATAGGTTCATGATCTTGAAATGATGCCTGGTGTTGCTGGGTATCTTCGTGCAAGGCCGGAGGATGCGCTTTGTCTCAATGGTGTATGAAGCTTGAAAATCGTGTTGCTCGTTGTTTGCCTCAAATCTGATTTCACATGTCTCGGGGGGAGGCGGGGTGGCCTATCATGTGTAGTTTTCACTGTGGCTCGCGAGTGGCTGGTTCCAAGAGTGCGCATTTTGACGTGTGGCATATGGTGGGGGTGCTGTTGCGAAATTCGTGAATTTTGGGATTTTTATCGCAATTTGCAGGGGGATTGCGGGGTGGGCCCGCGGGAGCTTTTTGGATTTGGATTCGGCGTCATTTGGTCTGTGGGAATGTGTGATTTTCTTTTGGTCTGGAGAGGTGTGCAACGAAACTAAACATTTTGGGGCAGTAGACGACGGCCTACACGTCGCGCCTTGTTACGACGGCTTATTGATCTTAGAAAATGCATCAAATCGGCCCAGCATTTTATTCGCCTTTATACCCTTGGCACTCAGCAATTTACAAGGCGAGGCGATGATAAATCAGCCTATAACGTTCTTTACAGATGATGATGCATTGGTTGATATTATATAATAAGGCTATTCGGTTACATTTTGGGATTCGACTGTTATGATATTTGTACGTAAACTTGTGCTTGCTTGTTTAGGGACGGACAATTTGATTTTTCATGGGGGTGGGGCGCATTTCTGAGAGTGCTCGATTTTTTTTTTGGACCTTACCGACTCCGCACGATTATTTTTTATCGAATATTGCGCGTTCACGATATTTTTTTTAATTTTTAATATAGCGTTAATACCATAATACCTGCATTCAATATTTTTATAAAACCATCATTCACGTATGGTTATATTCCGGCTGAAGAATGTATTTGAATATGCAGCATATAACTATCACAGCTCATTTTATTCTTGGCCAATGTATTGAATCTCAATAAATCATTGGTCTACGAAACGTAGACCATAGCCCCGATCAAAATTGGATCAAGTGTAACCTATTTACTGGCAGGCAGTACTCTACCACTGACGAGTAAAAATATGCTGGCATCAGACAGAGGAAATACCAAAGTAGGGCGCATTTTGGCGCACTGCCAGTTAATGAGTCAACAGCGCTCTGAAACTTATATTCAAAATGTGATTTAATCTAGAATTTTTCAAGTGGAGCACAAAAACGTAGACATGCACTCACCACGTACTACATCAATTAACCTTTCACATACATACTAGCAGCTTGAAGGAACATATCCAGACGGGGTTGCTTTTTTCCCTTTCTGTAAGCCAGAGCCGAGCGAGGAACGTTCCCAAATACGGGGGCGGCAACGCAACGGGCTGATTGCGAATTGTCATGAAAATCGTTGTAGACATTTAAATATATACTTTATAGGTATAGTTAATATTTTTAAGGTTAATGTTTATAAATGTTCAAGAACATAAAAACTATAAGGCCAAATAAAAAACAAACTTGGTTAGCGTCACCGCCCGCCTCTCGATTTTCTGCCGCCTCTGAATTTTTTTAAATTTTTTTATGTAAATCTCTTCGTTTTACAGCTTAAAACAGTTTAATATTTGAAATTTTTCTCATGTTCAGACCTTCGCGCTATATACTGATCGATAGGAGCGCGTAGGCTTCCCGGGTATACAAGGTTCTTAAAATGGCAACATCAGTACAAAATATATCACCGATATGGTGGAAAAACCGCCACCATCCCCCCAAAAAATACTATTAAAAAATTAAAAAAAGTAAAAAGTAAAAATTTAAAAAAAAACCCGCCCGCCCGCCTCTGAAAATTTCTGAGAGTGTGACGCTAACCAAGTATTTTTTTTTATTTGGCCTAATTGTCTTAATATAAAAAAAACTGTTTCTGCAGTTAATATGTTCCATAACTTTATGTACTGGAAAAGAAAACATACCATGTTATAAATATATGATTCAAATGTACTGTGTCATTTTTTTTAAATCAACTCTACCATTAATATTTGCATTGGCATAATGGCATCTATATGCAAATTCCCACGGTTCCCAATCATATCAGAGTTCCCAATACGTGCAGGGGCGTAGGAACCGGGGGACCAAGGCCACCCCAAGTTTTCACAGAAGACACAAAAAGTGCCCTTTTTTACCGGTGGCAAAGTGCCCTTTGCTTTCGTGAAAAATATTGTTCAGATTGCATTTTGACTCACGGATGTTGCAAAGCAACAAACAGAATTCAGAACCAGAAATCGGGCTGGAGCATTTTTCTTTCAATATAGAGTATTGCTAATTTAGAAATTTTTTACGCTCGATATATATTTTTTTTGATGGTGTTGATGTTCGATTTTTTTTCTTCAATTCGAGACATGCTCGATATTTTTTTTGGATTGCGCCCCCATGAAAAATCAAATGGTCCGTCCCTTAATTGATAGCATTAATAAGTATATCTTTATTTAATTCGTACTCGGCACATATCTGGATTAAAAAGTGTTTCAGGGAATCCTTTATCTCGGATACATGCAGGTTTCTACGTTGAAACTGCTCGCATCGGCCAACGTTCATTCATCACCAACAGTCATTCCGCCTATCATATATATAACCTCAATTCACGTTTCTAAATTTAATTTATCCAGTTTGTTAATAACAGTGTGTACAACAAATGTTTTGTTTTTCGCAAACGTCATTGCCGGCTGGATGTTGAACTGACACAGGGGTAAGGTTCACATTTTAGCTGATCATGCATGTTTATTTCGTACGAAACTGGTGATTACCTAGGTATCTTATCTTACTTATTCGTCATCGCTGGATGTTGAACTGACACAGGGGTAAGGTTTACATTTCAGAGGCTCTGTTAGGGTTTTAGGATTACGGATTATTTGGCATTTTTGGGCAGGATTACGGATTATTGCTGGTTAAAAAAAAAAGATTATGGATTATTTGAATAGGATTTTAGGATTATTGATATGCAAAGATCATCTATTTTTGCTATTGAAAATAAAAATAAGAGATACAATTTGCAGTTTGTATTAGAGGTCATAAGATGCCAGTCAATATCAATATCTTCATCAGTCATCTGGAGACACCATTAAAAGGTGCTCAAAAATTTTCATTATTGACCATTCGCACAAATTTGAGATGGAACACACATGAACTCCGCGCAAACACGTACACAGGTAAAAATCTCACAACTTGTCAACAAGATGTGTTTGCAAAAGGCTTGTAGCAAGCTTGTCTACAAGTTGTAACAATGTTGTTATTTTATCAAGTTGCTACAAAGTTGTCACCAGTGGCGTGCTGGGTACTATTTTCTGGGGGGGGGGGCAGTGGGCTATCAACTATTATGCACCCCTATATATTGCAATGCTTGATAAATGAGGGCCGAAGGCACGAACCGCAAGTGCAGCAGGTGTGAGGTTTCTCTATAGGGGGTCCAGGGGCATGCCTCCTTGGAAAATTTTTGAATTTAGGGTCTCTGAAATGCCATTTCCTGGACTTTGGGGGGAAGGTTTGACAGAAATCTGATGGTCAGGAAACATCATTATAATACGTGTTGAAATTCACAATTTGGTTAGAATTTAGTAGTAGGACTTAAATTGGGCAATGCTAACTAATTCCAGCGATTAATCTACTCCCAATTCTATTCTCTACTGACCTAGTGATCTGAATACATTTACAACTTACAGCTCTTTTATACAATAACACAAGGACCCACGCATATGCATTTTAAGGTTACCTTGCTTGGCTGCCAAAAGGATGCGTTTCAGCATTATCTTTAGTTATTACTTACATTACTCATGAGTCATAACGTTTCTTGCACAAACAACTAAATTGCATACACAACTTTACATTATCATAACTATCTAATTTGCGCCGCTCTCGTGATTCATGAAGCAAATAAAGGACATAATAGAAGGGCATAATACCAGCAAAAAAGGGCATAATTCCCATGATCGCTTTGAAACCTGACCAATATTCCGATAATGAGACATTGCGTGTGATCACTGATCATGTTTCTATATGAACGATTTTGTGTGAGCCGTGAACTCGTGAAGTAGTAAATTAGCAAATACGTTTAGACAAAATATAATCGGTAATTTAATATATCAATTTGTCGTCTATGCGCTTAGTCTGTTTATAAGCCTATAAACACTTCTTTTCTTAGCGGCAGTAACTATATTTTTTCAAATGTGTTTTTCCCACCCACTTTCAAAATTCTGCGCAGGATCGGCGCCCTCTTTTCATTTTTGCGGCCCCAAGAATTGCCAGCTGGGGGGTGGGTGGCCCCCGGCCTCCCCTGCCAGCACGGCACTGGTTGTCACTCACAACTTGTTGTCACTCACAACTCACAACAAATTGTTGATATTAAGTTGTTGGAACAACTTGTAACAAGTCTGTTGAGCTCAACAACCTTGTAGCAAGTTGTCAACAAGCCGCTGACAACTTGTCAACAAGCTGGGAACAAGCAGTTGGAACAACTACTTAAGTCTGCTGCAGGTTTGTTACAACTTGTGCGTTTTTACGTGTGTATATGCATGAATCACACGCATGAATCACTCGAGTGTCACTTGATCTCACGTGGAATAATTTGACTGTTCACATTTATTTAAATTATTAAAGGGATATTTTTGTTTATAGAAATGGGATACGGATTATTTTTAAATTTTTGCTAGGATTAT